TTCTGGCATTGAAATACTTTAGGAATGCAAGCCAAAAATAGAAAGGCTTATGCAACTTGCATTATCTTTTCCAGTCTCTGCTAGGTCCTTATTCAGATACTGATGTAGTAACAGTAGAAATTATGTTACTGGTGCTTGATGGCAGGAAAGTGGTAGAAGCTGCTGTTGAACAAAGCAAAGCAGGGAAAAATATTTCCTTCTCTGTCTTGTTTTTTTGTTCTTTTAATAAAATATTAAAGCTGTGGAAAATCATTTTCTGAAAAAGCTGAGCCAAATGTATGGTTTTGATTATTACACTGAAGAGTTGTACAACCAGTTCTAGAGTTATCTCAAAAAAATGAAATAGCACTTCAGATCAGCATATAAAAATGTTTGCAGTGTAAGGTTTAATTATTTGCCCTATTTGAAATTTATGACACATTTTACAAAAGTAGAATGTGTATATTGGGATACTGTAAGAACAGTTTCTATAATGTACAGCTTTGCTAAAGTTAGGGATGCAATATTAAGTGAAACTGCAATGTATCTTCCTTCTTCATTTTAATGCTTTAAGAAGAAATTCATTGCAGGTTTTTTTTGCCTAAAAACACACCCTAGTTCAAATAAGAAATAACTTTAAGATACATCCTCTGTATTATATATAATAGACTAGAAGATCTCATTATTCCTTCTGATTATGTAAACTTGTGAAAATGCACATTTTGCATTCTGATTATCTACAAGTGCCATGCATATAAGAAAGATATTGTGCATTTCAGTTGCACCAAAACAATGTAAAACAAACCTGAGAAAATCCTCCTTGGGTTAAATCCTGAGGCGCTGGCTTAATTTTGTATTCAGTTCTCCTTTGGGCAAGTAGCCCTGCCAGCCCGTAGATGAAGTGAAGCCATCAGGAAATACAAATATGTAAATGTTTGGTATTTCTCAGATTCTGTCTCTGGGAAAGTGTTCCTTAAAAAAAAAAAAAAAAAAGTGAGTTAAAAATTCAATGAGACCTCCGCAAGTAGACCCTTTGAAAATGTACCTACTACATTAGGTGAATTAGGCCTGACCTCTTACCTAATGAAAGCATAAAAGAACACAGGAAAAGTATGTGAAAGATATATGTTTAAGATATTGTGATGGTCAGAAGCTTGTACTGTTCTGTATTGTACTGCTTTAACATAGAGCTGTGAACCTTCTTTAACTAAAATTTCAGGTTGTGGGTCCATGTAGCAGATGTCAAATAATCTGCATTGATCAACAGTCTGCGGAACGAAACAAAGAATTTCTGCAGTCTCTGTCTGCTGCCAGAGGTAGAAAGGTCAGTACAGTACTCCAAAATAGCTGTATAGGAAGATGTAGTGACTTTATTGCATGCATAGTGAAATATCTGCTAAGAGAATATTCACAATTAAGTTGTTATGTTAATCATTACCATTTGTTTTGTCAGTAAAAAGAGGATGCACTTACAACCCAAATATGACATGGTTTATTTCCGTAAAATGCCCCACACTTCTTTTATTCAGAAATTGACTATTAATATGCATTATTTTTTACTGTGCTTGCTTTTATTCACTATGTCCTGCTTTACAATGTTAATTTTGGTCTTGAAAAACATGAGCTGATCCACTGATGTTATGCAAGAAGACAAATCTGCAGAAAAATCAGAAAGTGTTTGAAACAATACAGTTAGCTTGTAAGATTAAACTTTATTCTTACTGTGGGAAACTACTTAGCAGGAAAAACAGAGCAGTTGTGAATATAGTCAAAGGGGACAGTAATTGATTAAGAAAGTGACTGGAGAATAAGTGTGAAATACAGGCGTTCATTTGGAGTCCTTCTGCTTCCTAAGGTTGCATTGCTTCTTGGAATTGAGAGTGCTCAGATGATGGCTAGACAGTTGGGCATCCCAAAACCTTCACAAATCTCCTCATAAGTATTTATTTAGCTGAAAATCCTTACTCTAAATCAATGGCTTCCTGTTCATTAAGCTTCTGTTGTAAAAGTTCATTAGCTCAGGGCTCAGAAGCCAAACACCAGAGACTGGACACAGCACAGGGGCAGAGCAATAACAAATAGGTTGGAAATCATTCACCCAAACAATGCACAAACAAGTTAAAAATAATGTATTCTTTGTTTGGAAAAAAAAAAATTATTGATTGGTCTCAGTGACTCATTAAGCAAACAAAGGGCTACATTTTCAATGAATGTTATCCTTGGTGAATCGCTCCGCCGGCTCCATCTTGGAGCCAGGCTCCTGGTGCAGAGTGAGACCAGGGAGAGGCGAGCAGGCAGGGGCTGGCTCTCTAGGCACCGCATCCCACTGGCCTGAGATGACAGGCTTGTGCAGCAGGCTGTGGCATCCAGATCAGTGCAGCAGATGTGCCTTTGTGAAATGAGCTCCTGGCCATGGTGGGTACCCTGAGGACAAGAGCCCTCTCCAGGTAATGGTGAGCCACAGCTGGAACATCTGGACACTTCAGAGCATATTCTGGCACTCTGGGCAGGGATGCTGCCCAGCTGCCACATGGGGTGTGGTATGCAGAGGACTTTCTCTACCCACATGGATTTTACTGGATTGTGACTTGAATCGTCTGTAGAGGGAAAGCACTCTGTATTCAGGGACCTTCTCAAATGGCAACAAAACCTTACCCAGGACACGGATTCTCAGGAAAGGCAAAGCATCCTCTGCGTGTTTCCCACAGCAAAGATGAGCTCCTCTTTCATTCTGATGAACTCAGCAATGCAAAGATTTTCTTGCTACAAGCACACCTAGAACCAAGTAACTCGTTCAAACAGAACTAAGGCAAAGAGAGCAATCCAGCCTCGTGAGAACAACCTGGCGCCAGATAAAAGACGCATGGCGAGGCGAGGCTCTGCCGAGCACAGTGCTGCTATTCACAGCGAGGAGTCCTCTGCTTCCCTCAGCTGTGCAGCAATATTCATGCTGCAAAGAACCAGGCCTTCAGCTTTTTTTTATTTTTCCCAGCCTTCAGCACCGCTGGCAGGTGGGATCTTGTGAGCATGGTCTGCTCTGCATAAGGCCAAGTCCTCCGGGTCAGCTTGACAGCTGAAAGAGGTCATTTGAACGGTAGTTTTGCCTGAACTGGGCTGAGAAGACCTCAGAGCCCGTCCCTTCCACAAGTCATCTGTGGGGTGATGGTCGCCAGCTGGTTATCAGTGAGTAGCACCTGAGGCTTATGGCATTTTCAGTGTGCTAAGCAGACCTAGCAGAGGACATTGATCCAAACCTTTCATAATTCACAGTGGGGAGAGAGAAAGAACATCGAGTTCATGTGACTGTGTTAAATTGCAGAGCTAATCCTTTGGTGACTCACATCTCTAGCATGCGCTTTTCTGTTAAGGAGTCATCTAATTTTCTTTTTTTATTAGATACAGATTCAGTGAAGAAATTTAGCAGTATTTGTTCCCAGCTGTCAATAATGCAATTCAAACTACAAAAAACAAATGCACCAAAATAAGATTTAAGCTAATTTCCCAGTACAGGGGGAACTGATATTTTTGAAAGGCTGTTGTAGTTGCTCAATTTCCAAAACATTAAAGATATTGCCCATATGAATGGACAGCAAATCCTGAATGTTTAACAAGAAAGCCAGATGTCAATATTTACCATTGAGTTTTGTTTTTCCAAGAACACCAACCTGGAAAAATATATCAAACTTTATCAAACCAGTAGCCCAAATGACAGCACTGCCAATGAACTTCAATAATGAGCTAAATAAAGTCAGGCTTGTAAGAGGTCGTTCGATATTTATTTCTGAAATCATATTTTTCTCCATCCCTCTGAGACTCTAAGAAGCTGGTGCTCCAAGTTGAAAGATTGAGGCTTTGCATAGATGGATTGCAGCTGAAAGTCAGAACCAGCAACTGTAATTAGCCACACAAGCAATTTGCTTGTTTCCTGATAAATGTAAAGCAGGGTGCTGAAGCCTAGCCAGCTACTTTTTATGAAACCTTTTATCACATTGTTTGAAATAAATCCCAAACACCTCTACAAAGTGAACTTGAGCTCTGCTGCCATCAGTTCTGAAGAAACACTCATTAAGGATTCCTTCTGTAATTTTTGACTGAAAAGGAAAAATGAGCTCTCCTGTGACAGAACTGTCTCTGTTACTGGAGGAGACTATGAAAGACTAGATAACTACATTAAGCAAACAGCATAAAAATACCCACATGCTGTTTCATGTGTCACCTCCTGATGCAAAACACATAGACCAAAAGGAGAGAACATTGAATTCTTGCCCATCTTCTGTGTTTTGCAGATGCAGTTTAACGCTAACAATAGCAGAAGCCCTGTGGGTAGATTTGCAGCAGTGCTATAAGCTGGGATTGCTGTCAAGGTAGCAAAGGGAATTGCATTAGGAGCCTGCCCCAGCATAAACGTATGGATAGCAGTACATCAAGGGAAATCTATTATGTTTGCACATGGCCTCATACACTAAAAGGCTTGTGTTTTTTCCTGTAGGCTGTTGATCCTCCTTTACGTATCTTATTGTGCCTTGGGAGAGCTGCTTTCTCTGCAGAATTAGATGCTGTGCCTTTGGATTGCTTACTGAAATAGCAAGGATAACAAATGACTTCTCTTATCTGATGCATCATTATCACCATTTTCATAGTAATGCAGGGCTTTACAGCATGCAATGCTTTTCATCCAAAGACCTGGAACATTTGCAAACAGTGATTGATGTAATTAATAGATCTCTGAAATAATACACTTTTCTCATTGGTGGCTGAACTGGAAAATGCATTTATTTAAGGCAGAGCAAAGGAAAATCAGTTCGTAGGAAAACATTCTGCAGTCCAGATATTTTCAACAGAACAAGATCAGGATTTTTGACACCAAGTTACAAGTTTCCCTTTTTTCTAATATGAAAAATCAGCATGTTGAAAGTGAGTCCTTCCACTCATAAAACATCCTTACATTTAAAAAAAAGCTAATAAAACATCCTTACATTTAAAAGAAAAATCAGCTTTAATAATTGCATCTCCCAAACTTTTGCATGGGGGGCGGGGGGGGGAGGTTATGTTATTGTATGAATAGAATGAGCAGACATGAACAGGTGAATTTATTTATCTATTGGGAGAAGGCAGCTCAGAGCTACATCCAGGGGCAAAATCCAGAACTCATCCATCCAAAGCTAAGTTTTAGCATGCAGTATCACTTATGTGTTTGTTACACATTCTAGCAGGGCATTTTCCCTATCAAGTGCTAGTCTGAATTAACTGGTGGTTTAGGAGCTGTTAGCTTGAAGGCATCTCATCTCAGCCTTTGTCAGACGTAGCGCTTCAGCTTTCTATCTTACAAAAGGAGATGCTGCACCCAGAGTATTTCTCTGTCAGTGAATATCTAAGCAGTGCATATGACTGTTGATCCAGTAAATGTACTTGAAACAACATGCAAGAATGACACCATTTTATAGCTCCTCCTTTAAGTGAGTGTGATGACTATCATATGATTCACTGTTGGCAAGAATAAGTACGTTTTACCTATGTCTCCTAGCAGTGAAGTGTTGTGCTTTTTACTAATCAACAAGCTTTGTATTTTTTGTCCCTGTGAAGTTAAAGACTGATGGGAAGAGCGCCTACTCCCAGTGGAAGACCGAGCAGATAAAGCCACAGAACTCAGTCCAGCGTTCCCTGCCCAGTTCTTGGTGTGTTCTGCAGAGGTTATGCGCAGAATAAAATGCCCTTGAAGTCAGGAAAAGGTAGCAACAGCAGAGAGAGATTATGCAGTTCGTTGTAATAACTCTGCAGGCTGTAATCTCTGCGTCTGAAAGCCTCATTTTTCAACAGTGAAATGTGAGAAGGGCCAATTTCTACATTTTATCTTTCTCTTGAAACAGAGCTGAAATAGTAGGATGCACAGCTTTTGTGGTTGCTTCGGAGAGGGTTTGCTATTACCCGTATTTGCTGAGTCAATATTTGTAATTATTGAAAAAACAAGGAAATTCACTTAAAAGCTGTTAAATCCAGTTATGGTAATCACAAGCTAAATTTTGGTCTTAAGAACATTCACAGAAGAAAGAGGTCAGCAATTCCAAGCAGGTATTAGTACTAAAATATGTATACCATCAGTATACTATCACCTTGAAAACTGCTTAGGCATCACCCAGTCTCAGCACTGAAGAAAATACTGTGAGACTTTAGATGCCCAATCAGAGTAGGAAAATACTAAGGGCCAGTATTAAAATAGTATTTGAGAACTCCTGAAGATAAAATGTATTCGCACATGCCTTTTTTAAATAATTCTGAATGGTTTAAAGTGCTTTAAGAAAAAAAAAAAAATCTTGCTAAATGATTCACAACAAAAGAAAAATTGGTAAATTAAATTCTCCACAGTGAAAAATCTGCCCAGATTTATTTTAGTCTTGTTTTAAGATAAATCAAGATGTCAATACAGTAAATATAAATAAAAACTTCTCATGTATCAAATAAGTTCATTTACATGGATGAGTTATAAAATTCCTTCCTGTGTGAAATGTGGTGTAGCATGGACTAATATTCATTTTGCAAGATTTGTTTTATGATTGCCTGATTTTTTAAAACAACAAAATTATGGCAACTGTCATTTTTGCACTAGGGTATAGGAAGTAAATTCAAGTTATTAACCACAAGGCTGAAAAACACATCATTTATGCCAATAGAGAAACCACAGCTTGTCAACGAATAAGAGAGAAGCAAGAATGGAAAAATAATACTATGTACTTGTACTTATACGGTTGGACTTGATGATTTTTGAGGTCTCTTCCAACCATAATGATTCTATGATTCTATGAATATTTTAAATGAAACAGTTACTAACTTACCATTTTAGCATCATGGTGGATCCAACACAGTCACTGTGCTAGAGGATAGGGATCTTACTGTGCTGCAGTCGTTCCTCAGCATTAAATACTAGAACACTGACCATAAGGCTCTACCCTGTGTCCACCAGTGTTAACACCATTGTGGTCACAGGTATCCAAAAAGTGTCATTAATAGGTTAGGCCTGATCAGGTCCAACTCATATCCCACATATGTCAAATGCCAGTGAGGTGAAGGAATAGCAGAAGGAGCCAAAAAAAAGTCTGCTTGGGAGCTGGTTTTCTTTTTAATGTTTAGGATTACAAATGAAACAAAAAGACCCAAATTCAGAGTCTGAGGCCATGTTTGGATAGATCTCTGCTTTACGGCATCTCTCTTACTTGGGAAGAGGTCTTAGCCTTACCTCTCACTAATTCTTCAAAGACTAAAAGCTGTTTCATGTTACCTCATTACTGTATCTTTATTTAATTATACAGTGCAAGAACAGAAGAAAATATACTGCATCTTTATTTAATTATACAGTGCAAGAACAGCAGAAAATATACTGCCTTCACGTTTAGTCTGTCAAATATGCTCCCTTAAATTCAGCTAACACTATTGTTTTAATTTATTGCAATTCCTTTTACCTACTATATTTTTCAAAACCTGCTGTAAATGTAATTCCCTCAATTTCAGGATCATTGAACTGAACAATGGCAGTAAATGTAATCAGGAAATGGAGAAGGAGAATGAAGTTTTGTTTTTAATTAATTTCATTTGCTTATTTATTTATTTTACACTTTAGAGTGACTGGCACATTTTGGCTGTAGCCTACCAAAACAAAATACTTTTTGTTGAAACTTGTAAAAACAGACAAGAAAATTAGTGTTGGGTTTCCAAGATCCTCAGTTTGAAGAACAAAGACATTCTGAAGTCCATAAATCAATTATCAATTTCACATGGTCTTCAGCATTCCTTTATTTCTTATTTTACATATTTCTTTAATTAACTATTATCTAATCATTTGGAAAATACTATCATGAGATTGCAACTCTGTTTCTTGCATGTTTCTAAATTCTCCACTGTTGGAAGACAAAACCATAAAAACACAACAGTCTCGTACTCTGACATTTCCAGATCACGCCCAGCTGTTCACAGCTACAACCTGTGACCAAGCCCACACATACGAGTGCAGACACCCAGATCAGGTTTTTGGTGCCTGCGAGAGTGGTATGGTTAGTGAGTGAAGTAGTTATTCTGTTCCTCTTTTCTTTATTATTCAGTATCACAAGGACACATATCTAAGTATTCCTAATATTTACGTAGGATGGCTTCACAAGTAATGACAGATAACAAGTTGTACTCCTAATAAAACAAACTTCCTGAATATTTTCTGTAATATATACTAAAATATTCATAAAAACAAATGAAGGGAAATTCACAAAGGCTAGACAGAACAAAGTTCTGTTAACAAAGCGAATAATTCATGGTAGAAGGTGCAAGACTTCTCCTCACTCTTTGAACATACAAGCATTCTCGTGCTGCCTAGCCTTTATTTGTGATAATGCATTATTGTACTTGTCAAGAAGCCAGAAGAGTCATTAAATGACAAGACTGTGAGGGAGTGTAAATTGTATATATGATACTATGGAACTCATGATGAAATACTATGTTATTTATCCACTTACTTAAGGTATTCTTCTTGAATAGCATGGGGTTAGCTTCTGTTTACCAGTGTATTATAGTTAATTAGTTTTAAATGTTCTTAATTACACAGAGATAGTACATACCTCTTTATTCTTAAAGCAATATTGTTTTTCTAAACGTATTTGGGTTGTGAGATCCTCTGTAGATCTGATTACTTTAACATGAGTTGTGTCTCAATAAATACTTTGCTTTTTTCAGACAAACTTTGGCATATACCTGATGAACCAGCCCTTGCACTCATCCTTTCCAGATATGTTGTCGGTTGGGTCTCAAGTACTTCCAGTGCTGAAGGAGAATACAGAAATTCAGTCCCCAACATCCAGTGAAGAAAAATGTTCAGGATAGGTTCTCTGGTGGATATGAGATTTATATGCAACTCCAGGGAAAAATCAGTAGTCAGTTCTTTAAAACAAAGAAAAAGCTTCCACTCATTTGCTTCTGGTTTAAGTCTGTTAATTTTCTGTTTGCTGTAAATGTTATCAGATGGCAGAACTCTTGATAATTACAGCTCACCTGCATGTTTTTGCTTGTGATTAGGTTACAGCAGCCATAACTCTATTTTGCTCAATTGCTTCAGGATGCAACAGGTTTGATCAAGTTTTACTGGTGGATGACTCCCAAAACAAGCCCAACATCGTTGTCAGAAACCCACATCTCAATGAAGGAAAGTAAACACAACAATACACTACTTCCTTATATTGCTTTGTTAAAACCACAATTGGGAGAGAGGATACAGGACATAGTTTAGAAACTATGTGAGTGGGGAGGGAACAGTGGGAGAGTGGCATGAGAGTAGTAGTCCATTCAGCTTTTCCAAAATGAAACTGAAGATGATGTGTAGACAGTCTGAAAGCACCAGAGAAGAGGAAACTGTTATTGGGAAATCTGTATCTCTCTCTTCAGAAGTGGTGTGTGAGAATGCCAAAAAGTCACAAAGATCAATGAAGATTCACTATGTCATTTGCAAAACCCATTCCCAGTGGAGCAATTTCATCCATTTGTTCTCAACTTCTTTCTCTCATTCCCATTTGCTACTTTTCCATCTGATTTATCTTATGTGATGACTTCCCACACACTTGTTTCCTTGCGTATTTGTGGATGTTGATACATTTTTTCTAATTAGAGATTTTTCAACTAATACAGTCATGTTTCCTATACAAACTTTGTTTATCCTCAGCAGTCTGTAATGGCCACTTAAGGGGAACTCTTGAAAGTTTGGGTGCTTCTCCATCCCAAACAGGTCAAAATATTCTTTTTTCCTTACTCTGTGCATTTGATAATGTCCTTCTTAGAAGGCTTTTGAGTTCTTTACTCTCCTAAATATGACTCATGCTTTCTGATTTCTGAGAGCAAATATCTGAAATACCAATTATTCTGAAAATTAAAAAAATAAATAAAGCAAGCCTCACAGCAAAAAAACACATGGAAAGTCATTGTAATCAAGACTGAACACATTGAGGCCAGGTGTTTTATGACCCTAACATGTGTCCAGCCAGGCCAGGGTGATAGGAAGTCCTTCTGGAAGACGAAATTCTCCTAGATCAGCTGCTCTACTGCCATTTGGGAAATGAAATTTTGACCCTGTTAAAGGCACCATCAGAACTCTCATCCAACATGATTTAGGTCTTCCTTGGGGCAATTTTGGCTCAAACTGTGTGAAAGTGCTTCTGGCTGAAGCAATCCTTGAGTTGTTTGAGTATATCCCTGGAGGAGAGCAGGCGTTTCTGTGAAAGAATTGGCCAAACAGTCATTCTGAGAGAGGAGTGACTACCACAGCGCAGCATACAATGGGAAAAGAGAAGCGCACTTACCAATGCAAATCTGAATTTAAAAATGGCCTTTTTTCCTTTTTTTTTTTTTAACTGGTTTCTTCTTTCTTTTTTTTTGTTCTTTTGAAGAACTGGTTTTACTTACTTCAGCTGGAACAGACTCTTATTAGTCTCTAAGCAGAGCTTTGTAATGGAAATGAGAAGAGACATTATCTGTTTCTTACAACCTGCCATAAAATACATGGAAAGAAAGAGGTGTTTCATATGTACGTAAACTGAGGATCAGTTTTGAGAGTTGTACCTTCCACTTCAGAGCCCAAGAACTGCTCCTTGATGTCTGCTTTGAAAAGCAGGGGTTTTATCTGTCTAATAGTCAATTATCTGATGTTGTAATGAGCAGGCTTTTTGGAACCTTGAAAAGCAGTTCCCTGGTATCTAACTCCCTTAACTGTTTCACTCTTTGCCTTTCTGTTATGCAGAACATTGTTTTGTTGGATAGAAAGCCAGCACAGTTCTGGCAAATTTAATACGAAGAAACCTGCTGTATGTTGACCTTCAGGTGATCTCTGGTGCTTTGCTCTGTCCTCTTCACCTCACCAGTATGTCATTTGTTTAAAATGGCACAGAAGTTAGAAAAGGAAATTGAAAGCAAACCTCAGCAAGCTCTGTTTCACTTGTTATTGGATTTACTACAAAATAAGTCACTTTGGTACACAGTGACTTGACAAATACTGTTTGTGAATAGCCTTAATGCAATGTATGATAACTAAGGATGAGAGGATTTGAACTTGAAAAATGGCATGCTTGGTCATTTTGACCTGTTGTTTGCAGGCAATTACACTTTCTCTCTGCTATGGTTTAGTAATATTAGACCAAGAATAATTTTGTCATTTTACAGGGGGAAAAAAAGATTTTCTCTGATGTACGAACATACTCATTAGTATATTCTGTGCATTTCCCAGAAGGAACATTCTTGTGCTACAGTGAGAGGAAATGTCACAACGTTTCAGATTGATGGAAGAGACATAAGGAATCTTTCATCTTAACAAAGGATAATATTTCCCTTCTAGTAAGTGGAGCCTTCCCACCAGTATTGATATGTCGTCCCATCAATGAAGACAAATTCTTCTCAGTGCTGATACTCTGTGGAAAATCTTGAAGTAGGAAGAGTCACTTTTAAACGACATGCGCTGTAAGTTTGTAGAAAGAACATGCCTCCCATAATGTGAAAAAAAAAATCGAAGAAAGAAGAAACTTAGCATAATGCAAACACAGGTACTGCAGGAATAAAAAGGGCAAGAACACTTAGAAATACTATATATTACATGGAAAGATTATATGTTCGATAAGGGGTGACTTCTCAATCTTCACAGTATATAGAAAAAAGATCATTGCATATGAATGCAGATTCTTTTATCAAAGTACTGCCATTGCTGCAAAAAAAAATTAAATCTTTGGACTAATTGCAGAAATATGTTTACTTTATATGGATAAGAAATGTACTGAAAACAGTATTTCCAGACTGCCCTCATGTAGAAAGTTCTCTATATATTTGAAAACTAAGTCCATCTGTCCTACAATGAATTATTCAGACACATTCCATTTTCTGTAGGACTTAAGTCCTTCTCAAATCTCAAGGCAAAAATGGTGATCTTTACAAGCTATAATAATAGCCAGGAGGCTGAAATCACAGAACAGAAATCAGCATTTTTAGGAGAAGCCTCTGAATTCTGCATTCTCTGATATGACTAAGATATTTCAGATACAGTTTATGATTTATATACTTTGAATGGCATCTTTCAAAATATGGTCAAAATTTTAGGTCAACCTTCTGTCAAAATTATACACAAATCAAAAGAAAGGACTGCATAAAAAACATGATTGTTGTTCATGATTTGTAGAGATTATGCTATGCATTTCTTCTTTAGGCTGTTTTTTAACTTTCTTGGAAATGAAACCAATAAAATATATATTGTACTTGATATGTCTACTGGTGGTGGTTGCATTCTTGAGCTCATGAGATGCTGAGTTCTGCTTGGAGGCATTGCCAGGCTCACGGGGCGAGTATGTGGCTCAGGACTGAAGGGATGTCTCATCGCTGCTGGGATTCACAGGTGAGGTATTCCTCCAACTATCGTGCTGATGGTCTCCATCTGTCTAGTCAGCACGTCAGTCAGTTGCACACGCAGCTCAGGCCCTGCACAAATTGCACTAATAATCACGACTTTCCTTTAAAATATGTCCAGAGGCAGTCCTGTTGGAGCCATCTCTGTTATGCAGAGGTTGGAGCTCTCACCGAAGGTGTTGGAGAAGAGAAGGTTCATTTCTCTCTCCTTTGCCTGGAGGGATCCAACACTGTCTTTCTCCGCTGCCTAACCCATCAGTCAGTATGCGAGACTGAGGACTGAACAGGACTGGGTGTGTGTGGGAATCAGAGGGAAGGCTTGTCCCTCCCTTCTCGTGAGGTTTATACAGAAATGATCTGTGATTCACTGGGCCAGAGAGAGAGGGACACGGGCACAGTGAGGAAGGATCCGGACGTGACTCCAAGCCACTCGTTCATGCTCTTTTGGATTCACTGAGGGTGGGAGGGGAAGAGGAGCATGACTCTGTAACCCAGCAGGTAGGTCACTCCTATGGAGGTGAAAGATGTGGGTATGTCCCTGTCTCTCTGATTATACAGCTGTCATGAGGCAACTACTTGGACAAAATAAAGACACAGCCCCCGGAGAAGGGAGGAGAAGGCAGAGTGCTCCTCCTCTCCGCTGGGCATGTGAGACAGTGGGTTACAGAGGCTTGTCTCCTTCCTCTGGCCACCAGTGTTTAAGTAGAAGGTGGAACTTCAGCAAGAATAGAGGAGAATGCTCCAAGCGTGTTCTGGAATAGGCCATTAGGGGAAACACGACTTTGAGTCCTCAAAAGCAGAAATGGAAATGAACCCATGTTTCTGACTTTTTGCTAGCAGCACCAGCCACAAGGCCAGAGTGAAAACAAAAAAAAATGTGAGAGGGAAAGAAAAGTGGCGTCTCCTACAATCAAAGTTTAAAAGAATGTAGTGATACACAAGCCTTCATTGCCCAGTTTGTAATTTTGTTAGGAAAGAAAGGATGTAGGAATCCTCAGGCCCATAAATCAAATTCAGAGAACTCAGAGTAGGTCATCAACAGAGAGGTGCCTCTTAAGCAAGGTGCTATTTAAGAGGCCTTTCTTCCCTCCCTCTCATGTCAACTAGCTTACTTTGCTGTGCACTCAGTGTGATGACGGTTGTGGGTCCCTTCCAGTGGAAAAGAAAAAAGGCAGATGCTCTGCATAAGGAGCAAAGTGACTCACTCAGGACTGTGGCCAGGGAGAGAAGTTAGGGAGGTTTGACATGGGGCATCGTTGAGCATCGCTGCCATGTGCAGAGGTACCTCAGAAACCTCTGTGTAATAATCCCAGAAATATGTGTCACAGAATAAGTTAGTCATTTTTCTGCTGGCACTGTGAAGTCATCCTGGAAAGGTGATATTCCAGAATTGTGCTGTTGGGGAACAGACCATGACAAAGGCAAGATGGGGAAAGGAGACAAACAAAAAT